GGGGGAACGTGTGGCTTTTGTGACTTACATCATCCCGCATGAAATATTCAAAGTTTACCAATGAAATATTAAACCTGTGCGCAGCAGCCGTTCAGCCCGAGAGCTGCTGCTGTTCTGTGGTTTGGACGGAGGATGGCGCCAGAGTCCCACCAAGGACGCGCAGCTTCACGCAAAACTACTGGGAGAGGCAACAGTTACTGGTGCGCCCTTTAAGTTGAACAAACATCTACAATAAAAAACACACAAGCATAATATTTTGTTGTTTTATGCTTGTTTAATATATATATATATATATTAGTTTGGGCATCACACTCCAAAGTGCCAACAGGTGATCTTTCAAATAAAATGTTTCTCCCCAATTTTTTTTCAACTAGTAAAGAAAAACCTTTTAAATCGACTGGTTTGTGCCCCCAGCTCAGTTCAGAGAGGTCTGAGCCCCCCTCCCCTCACCCTGCCTAATAAACTTTCCTCAGCCCTCCCATTTCAGCACCACACCGCCTCCCTCCATGTGCCAAAAACTTGTGCGCAAGCTTGTAAACTTTTTGGACTCGGAGAGGTTTTGCAGCCCTGATGGCAGATGACAGGTAACCCAGAGTCAGGCCCGCAGCGTGTAGCCTATGGCTCTGCTCTGCCGCAACATCAACAACAACAAAAACAAAAACAAAAAACCCTCCGAGTTTCAACAGGACCATCTCCTGAACCCTGATCTTGGAGAATGAGCTCAGGCAACGTGGTTTCTGATGGAGAGGAGCCCCACAGCCGCCTGCTCTCTGTAAGTCACCCACTGATTACAGGTGGGAGAAAGTAATTTGCTTCGTTTTCTTTTGCGCTCTGTTGTTCGCGCTCTGGCAGGTGCGGGGTTGCCAAGTCCCCCCCCCCCCCCCCCCCCAAAGGTCACTTTTACGCACGAGTTTGAGGCGTTTCTTGTACCACCGCAGTCCAGCTGTTAACCGAAGTTTCTGTGTTGTGCTGAAGGTGGAGGGGTGTCCGGCCGGAGAGTCTGCTGTGACCCCCAGGAAAAGACTCCACTCCGCGGAGGAAGCGCGATGCAGCAGCCGACCTCCTCCCGAGGGCGCCGGGTCGGTCTCCATCTCCGAGTCGGAGGAGAAAGGGGGAGGCTGGTGCCAGCAGTGCCACAAGAGGGTCTCTGAGCTGAAGAAGCAGGCGCTGGCTCTGGCTGACCAAAACTCCTTTAAGGTTGGTTTCCCGCACTTTTAAATTCCAACCTTTTGGGATTTATTCTTACCTCAGAGACAGAAAGTTGTTAACTTGTCCTAAAGTTCTAAAACTCATCTTCTGAGAATTGCTCTGAATTATTA